GAGAACGGTTAGTTGTAACGATTTTTACCGAAAGACCTTGCGTAAAAAACGGTGGAAATGTATAATTTTTCACTCAGTAAAAAAAGTAAAAAATTTAATACACGCAAAAAACCCTAATACACTAAAAAAGTTATTACTCTTCAAAACAGCTAAAAATATCTAGGTAGCACCTTTTACAAGTAGAAGTGATATTTACATCGAAATCAAATTTCCTATGTCAAAAAATACTCAGGCACCAATTTTCATCAAAATATCGACGTTTGTTTAAATTATTTAGAAAAAATCGAAATCAAAATGAAGCTACTACACCATGTATCTCCGAAACGAAGCATTTAAGGACAAAAATTTATATACGAACTTTTTTACTTATTTTTATCTGCAGAATATGCTGCAGAAGTTTCCCGAATACAATTCGGTCCACCCTGTATAGAAACAGTTTAACTTATTATTAGCATATCAAAAACAATCTACAAAATATCTGTTTTCATTGAGTTTGTTTAATTTTAAATAAAACTTTGTTCGATTGGAATTTTGGTTTGTTTCTTATATCTAATGAATTAAAGCTGCTTAAATAACTTGTTAATATACAAATAATGAGTTTTTAGAATAAACTATCATTTAACAGAAAACTGGTTATAAAAGTTCTTGACATTTACCTCAAATACATGCAGGTATACCATATTTATATTTAATCTGAACCAAATACATAAACATTCTTTTTTTTTGGTATCTTGGATTACTATTGGGATTGTGGCCAACCTTTAAATTTTTATCATACGTTTTTCGTATTTCATTCATGGGTGATCCTTCTCTAACGTCCGAAAAATCTTGCTTTTTTTCTGTAGTAATTTGTCATGATTATTCGGGCAGTTTTTATCATTCAACCCTACAAGGTTAATAAGAAAACTGCCCTCTTCTAAGAAAAGAAATGAAATTATACAAAAAGAGAACGAAAGTGAGTAATCTGTTTGATCTTTTTGCCATACCAGGCAAAAAATTTGCAAAATCCAAAAGAAATGTTCAGTCTCTTTTTTAAATTAAAGATGGTGATATCTAAAAATCTTAGTCTGTAGATTAATATGACTCTTTGGAGAAAACACAGATTGAATAATGCTTTTTTTATTACGTCTATTCTAAATTAAAAATCAAAAAGGTAAATGTTAAAGATTTGTTTAAAGTTAACGCTTTATCTTACCTACAGAGCTATTGAGAAATTTGTCTTCGTCAATTTTGAAACGCTAGTTCTACGTGCTTCTTTTATATTTTATAAATAGTTGAAACAACACCGTATGCCATTTTAGAGGGTGAGTCTGAAATAACTGCAAATGTTTTTAGGGCTGGTATATAAGGTCTCGATAAAAGAAACATATTTTTTCTTTACTGTTGTCAAATTAGTCCAAAATAACCGGGTTATTTTACTTTGAAAATTAAAAAAAATACTTTTTTGCTCATATTTTGAAAACCACTAAGAGTTTTCTTTTTTGTAAATTTAATTATCTTTACAAGATTATCTTTACAAGAGGAAAAACTCTTTTATTATTGACATTTTGAGAAAAATGAATTCTTTGGCGACTCGATCGGCGACGAGAACAAGCACTCATCTTCTTGCTATCAGAGCTCGGCGATAGCAAGAAGGCGAGCGCTCGAAATCGCCGACTGCCGCATGTGCAGTCGCTGCATAATTATACACAGTGTACTATGATTATTATTGTTAAAATAATGCATATATAAGACAATTTAATCAAACATATACTATAAACCACATATCTACATTCCGTGTGTTGTATCGCCTACCTGAACAAGGGAAATCCCATGTAAATTTTAAAAATCTGTGGTTTTGTGGCAAAAGATGCTATGTTGAAATCTTATTGCGATGTTATTGTAACACGAAAAACGTGTTTTGGCCAAAATTTCGAGAATTCTACAAAAATCATATGGTTCCATATGGCTTCAAAAAGGTACAGTTTAGCTTAAATTGCCAAATGGAACCATATGATTTTTATAGATCTTAGAACTTATTGCCATATTTTATGTTACAAGAAAAACGCTAAAGTTTCAACATAGGACTTTTTGTCATAAAACCAAAGAAATTATGAATAAGTTTTCTCTATTTTATTTTACAGAAAAAAATTTTTGAAACTACTTAAAGAACTCGTTAAAATGAATCAAATTGTTCGTTTTGAATAATTTATACTCGTTTTTGAGTTATGAGAGATACAAAATACTAAATTAGGCGAAAATTTGAAATAATCCGGTCCTGATCAAACAAACATAACAATCACAAGTTATATCACATATGATTTTCTTCTACAGAATGTACCGAGACCTGTCAAAAATATCTATGAAAAGTTACAAAAAGTACACTGTAAACTGTAAACATAATAGAATCTTTAAAAAATCAAATATATTTCGTAGATAAGTAAAGACACTGCTTTAAAAGATTTGTTTTATTAAACCATTCGAAAAATTAAGTACTAGTTTGTTTTGGTGTTCGGAATATTTAAATGACTTTGATTTATGCTTCTCCAAAATTCAACAAATAGTCGTACAATGTTTTTCGACTATTTCTGGTACTGACTTGTTTTTCATCTTCCGCTTCCATCTTCTCACAGAATATTTAATTCATTTTCATTTATTATTTCTTGATCCTTATCAATATTATTCTTCTTCTTTCTATATTTACAGCCCTTAATAACTGTTCTGGCCTCTTTGGAAAATATACAGGACATAAATCCTTGACAGCGCGTAGACTATTTCCTCCATAATACCACTAAATTATTTTTTGTTGTATAATTCATATTTACAAATTATGTTTGATACTTATAAAGTCAATATAACATTAAAAAATGAATCTGAAGGTGCCATGTTTGTTATTCCAATCACGACCGGATTATTTTTTCAATTAATTTAGTTTTTTTAATCTTGCATAACTCAAAAAGGAATTCGTGGAAGTTATTAAACAATTTGCTTTATTTTAAGAAGTTTTCTTTAAAAAGTTTCAAATACATTTTTCTGTAAAATAATATGGGGAAAACTTATTCAGCATTTTTAAAATTTACAAGGGATTTCCTACATTCATATTGAGAATGCAACAGACTGTATGTTTTCATATATCTGTTATAGTGACAATAATTGCTATAACTATGTCCTAAAAGATACTTAACATGCATGAATTTTAAATTTACACAATCACTATAATTTTATTATAAAATTGTTAACAATAAGTTGCTTTACACTAATCAATTGCATGCGAACCGTAGATGAAAGTGTGGCATATCACAGATTGGACTCCAACGAGATAGATGGTAATGTAATAAATACCTTTAGAATATTTTTAATATCCCCATTTATTTAAACAATCATAATTTGAATTAAATAAATGTCCTGTAATTTCTCATAAATTTTTTGGAGCAATTAGTAAAAGAAGGTAACATTTTTCTACTTTTATTTGTCGTTAATTTTATTCATTAATTGCTTATAATATTTAAATTATTACTATTCTTGCTTAACGACAAAAATGCTCCTTATTAAAACAGAAAGCAACAAATAAACTGAACTATCTAGTGGATCGTTTGAATTTATATAGAACTATTTTTCTGTGGCATGCTATTTTAATTCAAGATTAGAAATAGAGATCTAACAGTTCAAATGACTATATAATCAAATAACTGATAGCTTTAAACTTATATTTCAAGATTCTTATTGAGCAATCCACTAGATAATTTAATAAGCATGCTTAAACTAACAATACGCTTTATTGCATATAGAAATACGGATTGTGTGTCCCGATAAGCCGTTTTCACAACTATCGACAAATTCTCAATTGTCAGGTATGATTTTTGTTTTACCTCCCAAGGTAAAGAAGACTTAGAAATATTTGTAGTAGTCCTTTGTAGCCTATGGGTTTAAATATTCATAATATCAGAGACTATGACTGACCCTTCTTTATTTTTTTAAGTAGTTACTCTTGATAATTTAAGAAAATATCAGACAGGTTTATATAGAGTTTAATTGAAAAGTAAACAATTTAATAACTTATAGGCTAATCATAGGACTGAAGTAACAAGTTGACTGGAATGAAAACAACGTAGCGTATTTCACTATTCTAATTTTCCATTTCCTAATAGTGTAACTAAGTGGGCTTGCTACAGTAACTTGTAACCAAAATTTCTTGGAACAGATCTTTGTTGTGAAGTATTTTAGAAAGAGCATTGAATTTTATTTATAATTTTATATTGAAACAGACAAAATTTAGAATAATCTTTTGGTTGAACTATTACACAGTTGAAACAACACGTATACAAAAGGTTGATATTTCCACCAACACACTAGTTATTCCTTTTTATTGGCCTAAGAAATCAATATTTTCTAATAAAACATAAACAGAGCAATTTATTCTGTATTATTGAATAAAGATAAGCTTTCGAGTTGTGAGTATGAGTAATGCATTTCAATTAGGATAATCACAGGTATAAAGGTCCTTTATTACTGTATAGGAAGCCTGTAATTTTACTTTAAAATGCTATTTTTCTGCATAGTTGCTTTCGGGCTGCTCTATAATGCATGAATTTAGCTATTATCTGATAAAGCTTCTAACATTAATATTTGTCTTGTAAAGAAATACACTGTTGTCATACTCATATTTACGAGAGGGCCTTCAAATTACTGATTTTGGTTACTTTAAATTACTTTATTAATTCTTATAATGTAAATTGATCAAAGTAAGTTGTATGTTTATTGCTGGTACCTGTACAATCGAGGTAAATAGAGACACTTAAGGTTTAAGTTCACTTGATTATTTGTTCTCCAATATAATTTATGCATGGAATTTTGATACTTTTACAAGCCTTTTTTCACTGTTCTTCACTTATAAACCAGTGGTACTTAATTATTACCTGTTGAAGTAGTGGTACTGTTATAGCTGTTGTATTTGTTTGGTGTTTGTTGATTTTGTTCTTTGATTTCGTCACTTTATATCTAATTATGTTTCTCTTTCGCAGCTCGAAGGCAAGAAATCATCAAGATGACAGAGCAGCTTATAGAAGCTATTAATACTGGAGACTTTGAAGCATATACGTGAGTATTTCTCATTTTATAATTCAAAATACAATCATTATTGTGGTGACCGTTACTCTGAGGCATGTGTCTCTGAGTTCTACCCGAATATACCGGTTTTAAGTACCTAATTTGAATAATAATTTGTTTTAATCATTTTAGTGGATATTTTTAATATTTTTTTTTATTTCTTGGATATTTTTAAATAATTTAAAAAATTATTTTTTCTCCGTTATATTCCAGTAACGCGTCAAATGTATTAGTAATGAATTTTCTCTGTACAGGGTGTCCCATTTTTGTGTGTTTACAGAGTTTCTCTTTTAAAAGTAGAAATACAATTATGCGGTTTTCAGATTACTCTACTAGCCCTCATTACATTACTAGTTCCTGAAATACAGGACAAACTTGAAATTGTTGCATTTTTCTACTCCCCTCGTATCTCGCTTACCTTATGGTGCGTTTAGACTTGAGCACGCACGCACTGATTCTCCGCGAATGCTCAAGTGTAAACGGCTGTGCGCGCACGCTCAATCTGAATCTGTCTGTGCGCGAGCAGCCGCGAACGTGAGCCGTCTGGTGTCGGTTTTTTGTCCGTGCTCAAAGGGATTCTATGTGTGCGCGAACGCTCAGTTTGCACCGGCAATTTGTTTTGTCTGCGTTCGTGCGTACGTGATTTTTTTTCGTTTTCTTTATTAAAATTATGGAGTGGATCAATGAATCTTTGTTATTATTAATTGAAGAATATGAAAAGTTGCCTATATTATGGGATGTTAAACATTCTTCGTATTTACATGCTTGCTTCATCCACGTTACCGTAGATGGAGCTAAGAAGGCTTAGGTAGGGTATATATAATAAATAAACAAAATACGAGTAGCGGAAAAAGGGGGCCAATAAACCCTACATATATGCTTATTCTCTGCATTAACTTCATCAGACCGAAGGGAATAGCCATTCGACGACCGGTTTCGGAGATTTTTCTCCATCAGGATGAAGCAAGCATGTTTGTCCAGTAGGCCGCTGGTTTTAATTTTGGCGGTACGATCTGTGATTGTCATAGCTACCGCTAGATGGCGTAGAGCGTCTAGCACTCTCACCATAGTAGTACGTTTTGTACTCAAATGCTATTCTCTGCTTTTCGTTGGTCAGATCGAGGGTTACAGCAAAGTCGGCCTGATGATGGAGAAAAATCTCCGAAACCGGTCGTCGAAGGCTGTTCCCTTCGGTCTGATGAACTTAATGCAGATAATAAGCATATATGTAGGGTTTATTCTTATTGGCCCCTTTTTCCCGCTACTCGTATTTTGTTTATTTATTCTTTGTATTATTAAAAAAAACGCATGGCAAGATCTTGTAAATAAAATTAATATTGAATATGTCGATATTGATGAAATTGCTATTCTAAAATTTGTATCTTTTGTTCGTAATTTTTGGTGTTATTAAATTTTGTAAATATTCAAAGTCGGGTCTGGTCATTCTTGTAAAGTTTTTGAACTTATCATAGCCCTCCTCAGACACTACGTTGTTGCAGTAAATTATATCGATTTCTAAAAATTTGGGTTTGCCACCAGCGACGATGTTTTCGATTTTTCTCCTTTTTAATAATTAAGCTGTGCATAACAATGACTGCAGCCTCGATTATTTATTGGTCGTGCATTATTTTCGCCAATACAACTCTGCTGTGCGCGCACAAATGGATCACTTCATTCGTCGAAAAATAAGTTTTTAATTTGAACAGAGCCGAGAGCGCGAACGAATGCCGTGCGCGCACGTTCAACTCGTGCATGCTCAAGTCTAAACGCACCATTATGTTGTTATGGCGCAAACCTTCAACAGCAAAACAAACAACTAAGTGACAGTTTTGAATTTCTCGTTCGCTTTTTCGAATATATATAACATAGAATATATATAAATCTTCAATTGTTATTGTTAATCTTCTTGTTTATTTTTGTTGATGTTAGATAAGTATTTAATAAAGATATTACAAGAATATTTTTTTTAATTAACTGAGATAAGAAAAACCGAGTGAGGGAAATGGAAGAAGGAAGAAATATAGATAATTTAATAAGTCAGTAATGTCAGTATTACATATATGTGGTTGTAAATAAAGTTTTTTATTAAATAAAGTTTTTTTATTTACAGCCACATATGGTAATACTGACATTACTGACTTTTAAAAAATTTGAAAGTGTCAAATTATCTACATTTCTTCCTTCTTCCATTTCCCTCGCTCATTTCCCTCATCCATTTTCCTCACCCGTTTTCCTCACTCGGTTTTTCTTATTTCTCGCCTCATTTAATTAAGCAAAATATTCGTGTAATATCTTTATTAAATACTTACCTAACATCAACAAAAATAAACAAGAACTAAAAAAACGAAGCTAACTGAGAATAATATTTTTTTTTCAAAATAAAATACTGTCCCTATTTTTTAATTATTGATGTGGTTCTAAATAAAATAGTATACAAACCTCGGAGAAAAGTTTTCATTATTGTCTCGAGATTTAGTTAATCGCGACGCTACGCGTCTCGATTGACAATATCAATCTCTCGACAGTAGTGAAACACTTCCCTCCTCGGTATAGTGGAATACTAGTTTTCCCCTGTTAGCTGTCATTCTTGAAATATGATCTAAACATTTTTATTTATTTTTTTAAATGGGATATCCTGTACGTTTTTAGGGTTCCGTACCCAAAGGGTAAAAACGGGAACTCTATTACTAAGACTTCGCTGTCCGTCCGTCCGTCTGTCACAAAGGTCTGTCTTTCATATCTGTCACAAAGGTATATCGTATGAACCGTTATGGCTTGACAGTTGAAATTTTTACAGATAATGTATCTATGTTGCCGCTATAAGAACAGATACTAAAAACAAAATTAAATAAATATTTATAAATAAAAACATACTTTCACTAAACATTATCTTTTAAGTAAGAATTTTACATAGAATCTTTCAAGTCCTCGGTGGCCGCGTGGTTAAAGCGTTAGGACTTTACGCTGCTATGACGTTGGAGCCGTAGTAAGGCAGGTTCGAATCCTAGTCAAGGCGACTTTTTTTAATCGTTTTTTTTTTAATTTTTACATACTTTTACATATTTTATTTATTTTTACTTTTTATATATTTATTATTGATTAATACAATTTTTAGTAACGTGTTTCTTCATTTTGTTTTTAATTACTTATACGCGCATTCAAATTTTCAGCTAAATCGGAAAAAAAGTTTATAATAATATAGTATCTAATGTTGTATAGATAATGAATGGTACGGAACCCTTCGTGCGCGAGTCCGACTCGCACTTGAACAATTTTTTTTATTTTATTTGCCTTGTTATGATCTTTCTAAAAATATAATACGTAAAATATTAGATTTAGAAACATAACTAGTGGTAGTAATGTTTGTAAAAGTTTTTCTATGTTATTTTAGGAAAATATGCGATCCTCATCTAACAGCTTTCGAACCAGAGGCTATGGGCAACTTGGTGGAAGGAATGGATTTCCATAAATTCTATTTCGATAATGGTAATCTACTTGTCGATATTTTATAAATAAACGTAATAATATTATGTTTCTTCTTCTAGTACTAGGAAAGAATTGCAAAGCTGTAAACACTACAATTTTGAATCCCCACGTCCATCTTTTGGGAGAAGATGCTGCGTGTATAGCTTACGTGAGACTCACTCAATATATGGACAAGTAAGTGTAAACTACTTTTTTAAGTAAATTAAAACCAGTAAGCAGAATAACGCGATGCTACAACAGTATTGATATTACATTTTTTCGGTGTTCACATTGGTGTTTCTTGCTTTTGTGTTTAATAGGAGACATCTTGATTTCTATTAATTGTTACCAATGTATGATTCCATCTCTATACTTAGTGGATTATTATAAAAGATTTATATTGAGTTATATTACTAATATTATTTTTTTATATAAGTTATTATATGTACATTATTATGGTTCCCTTTATATATTATATTATATTATAGTATATTTAATAAACAAATATCTTTTAGTGATGAGCAAATGTAAGACCAAGGCAATACTTCGTTAATCTTGCAGTCTATAAGTAGTTTTGGTTTTAGTCTTGTAGGGTTCAGCATTGGTTTTGGTCTTGCTTCAAGACACATTTTTTAAGAGACTTATAGAGATTGCCGCAAGTCTTTTAGAGAGTTTTACCAAAGGCACTTGCTACATGGAAAATCAATCTAATGCAAATGAAATTTTGAAGAAAGAGCATTGCTTCCTTTAAAATTTTATCCAATACTTATTTGCAATAAATTAAATCAATAATTTTGAACAAATAGATAACTAAGCGAACAAATAGGTTAACTCTGAAACATTAATAAGTAGAAAGAAAATACTAAAAAAACAGTCCATTTTTAAATATTAAACTTTTGTTAATCCAGCAACACAAAATATTTTGAACTATAAAAATAAAAAGCGTATAAGAATGAGGCAATTTCATGCGAATTTTATTTGACCTCTGTATTAAATTTTAAAACAATAAAACCGTGTAACATTTAACGATATATTTTTAGCACCATCGCGCTAAATTAATAATTAACTTAAAAACTGTTCTTGTGCCAAAATAACTCTTTTCAAGGATATTTATTTCTTTAAGAATTTCTTCACGTAACGCCATTTTATCATCTTGATTTTCAAAGTGGCTATGTGGAATTTCGTGCCACGCTTCGCAAATTTGTAAATGAAGGACTTTCAAAGTTCTGCTTTCCAATTTTAAACAGTTTTTTAATTTGCATTATCTTTAGTTAATTTTAATTCGGTTTCGTTTTTTCCGAGTTTAAGTAATTTAAGAAAAACTGCATCTATTTTTATATTAAAATTGGAAAGGTAACAATGCAAAACTCTATTTTTCAAACGTTAGGCTTTTGCCTCATTCGAACCTCCATTTCCTTTTAAATTACAAAAATACATTTCAGTGATACTAAGCGTAGGTACTATAACGTAGTACGAGCCCTAACAACTAAATGTTCGGACAAACAAAAATTTATTAAAAACCTTTATTTTCATTAACTGAATTATTTACATTTAGGAAATACATTAAAAATATATTAAAATCTAACATTTCTAATGAGTATTTAAATAGTTTAGTTTCTATAAACATTAAAATAAAGTGTAGACCAATAAATAAACAAAAATATTGCACAATATCGTGACAACTAAATGTTCGGACACTTTAAAAAATAACTGTTGATTAATGATTGACATACGCTAGACTAAAAATTTTGCCATAATGCACTGAATATCATCGTCAAATGGTCAACGGTTTCTTGGGGATCATGGATCGAGGCACAATTATTTTTGTTTTGTTTTATGCCACATGTCTCGATAACATTAAGGTCCGGACTGTGCGAAGGCCACGAGGGGACTTTGATGTTTATGTCCCTAAACCATTTTTTAGTAGTTTTAGACGTCTGGCATGCCCCGCCATCCTGTTGAAATATAAAATTCACATCCTGGTAAAGGTCTCTCGCACTTCGCACAAAATTGTTTTTCAAAATTTCTTGATATTTTGACACATTAGTAGTGCCTTTCTACCACCTCATACCTTCCTAGACCCATTGCGAACATAAACTCTAAAAGCATAATGTCTTTAGGAAATTCCACTGTCCATCTTTCATAAAGATCATGCATGCGTGCAGATGTAATCCTTGAACATGCAGATTGCGATTAGAATTATCAGCGTTGGATTGGAACTTCTGATGTCACAAACTACAAAAATGACATTAACGTAAAATATTTAATTATTTCCCAATCCGACGCTAATTATTCCAATCGCAAATGCACGCATTACATGTGCACATGAGCCAACTTAATATCGATATAATAAATATAATCGAACACCGCTAGAGTGTCTATTTGATAAAGATTGCCCCAAAAGGACAGTAAAATTTCCTAAAGGCATTATGATTTGAAGGTGTATGTCCAAAATAGGCCCAGAAAAGTATGAGGTGGTAGAAGGCATAATTGATGCGTCAAAAATTCAAAAAATTTTGAAAAATATTCTTGTGTCAAGTGAAAAGGTCCTTGTAACCAACTGTTCTGTTAAAGACCAGGACAATAATTTTATATTTCAACAGGATGGCGGGGCATGCCGTACGGCTAAAACTACTAAAAAATGGTTTAGGGACATGAACATCAAGGTCCCCTCATGGCCTTCGCACAGTCCGGACCTTAATGTTATCGAGACATAAACATAGGTACATGGCATAAAACAAAACAAAAATTGTGCCACGATCCCCAAGAAACTGTTGCCCATTTGACGATGATATTAAGTGAATTATGGCAAAATTTTACTCTGACATATGTCAATCATTAATAAAAACAATGCCAAACAGACTTGCAGTGGTTGCAAAAGTTCATGGCGATGTAACGCCATATTAGAACAGTTATTTTTTAAAGTGTCCGAACATTTAGTTGTCACGATATTGTGCAATATGTTTGTTTATTTATTGACCTTCAGTTTATTTTAATGTTTATAGAAACTAAACTATTTAAATACTCATTAGAATTGTTAGATTTTAATATATTTTTAATGTATTTATTAAATGTAAATAATTCAGTTAATTAAAAGAAAGATTTTTAATAAATTTTTGTTTGTCCGAACATTTAATTGTCAGGGCTCGTAATATAGACAGTAACAAATTATATTTGATAAATGATAAAATCATATAGGGAAATTAAAGCAACTTTGGATGCACGTCATCAATGACACCATGCGTCTTCTTATGGAGTTTGCTGGTGGTCGTATTTGTGCAACCAAAGTTATTATAATAATTTCCCTATAGGTTGACAACATAAGCTATACTCCCCCGCACAAAATTTCGCCACTCTAAAAATTTGACTAACTTTGATGCTTCATAACTTTTTATTTTGTAATCCAATGTTTATGATTATGGTATCAGTATGAAGATAAATACACTACTCAAAACAATTATCACAGATTTGAATAAAAGTAATTATTACATATTTCTATATGAAGCATGCGTTTTTCTGCCTTTCTCTTGTGAGTTTTTTTTGGAATAATTAGGGTATGCACTGACATGTAATTTTTAGTCGGTCGACTATTTAGTTGCAAAGGTGAAAACAATACATTCTTATGAAGCCGATCGGCCCAATATTCGATTACATTGCGTAGCCTTAGGCTGTGCGCTGACAGGCAACTTTTAATCGGCCGATTATTTAGTTGCATATTTGTAACCGATATATTCCTATGGAGCCGCCCTCACATGCAATCAAATAGTCCGAACTAATTCATAAGTATGTATTGTTTTCACTTTTGCAACTAAATAGTCGACCGACTAAAAATTACAGGTTAGCGCATAGACTTATTTATCGAATTTCCCTTCACAGTATCCCTCCTATTTAAAATCGTAAGTCAGGGAATTCAAAGTGTCTTGTTTTTCAAATTAACATTTAGAAAATATGCGATAATTGTTTTTAGTAGTTTGTTTGGCATTATTTTTTATTATTTTAATGTCTTATATTCTTCGGTTAGGTAGGTTTATACCGGGGTAAATCAAAACGTTGTTTTTAGCAACAAATTAAAAACACTCTGTGGAAAAAATGAGACGGGCATTGTGGATAAAAAACACTTTCCTGTAATATTAGATGTATTTCTAACATTTCATTTTTTGAATTATCCCATTGTCTCTCTTCTTTTATGAGCTACACATTTTTAAGTAAAGTATTGATTCAGAAATTCTTTTATTCACAAAAACAATAATTTTATAATAATAATATAATAGCTCCCGTATATAGCATTGAATGCCTTGGGAGTAGCATGGTACAGCTTGCCACGCTAGACCCGTTCGGTATACAAGGAAGATAATGTGGCTAGCACTACGCTTCAACCGCCTATTATTACCTCAGGATTGTGAATCCCAAGTACTTATTTAAGGCTGAGTAGACCTAGGTACCCAAACTATTTTTATTTTAATAAAAATAGTCGGCTGATGAAATGCCGGGTGTAGGATTCCAACCCACTACCTTGAGATTGGTAGACGAGAGCCTGTACCTCTACGCCACCGGGCACCGGGCAATAATTTTATAATAATTTTAACAGTGTGTATGTCCACCTCTCGCAGCAATAACAGCTCGAAGTCTTCGTCGTATCGAATGAATAAGGGTAGTTATTCTTTCTTGATTATAGCTTGATGAATATCTATCTATAGCTTGATGAATATCAAGCTAAACTACTCGTACTCCTAACTCAACGTGGAGCCTGGCATTATCATGCATCAGTATAAACTGATTTTCAATGAAAGGAGCGAATGGAACAACTTCTTGGAGGACATCCTCAATATACCGATGGGCATTGAGGATGGCTCCATTTTCAACAAATTCAAGATTATAAAAATATCAGTAGTTTATTTCAAAATGTGTAGCTCATAAAAGAATAGAGATAATAGGATAATTGAAAGAACGAAATGTTAGGAATACATCTAAGATTACAGGAAAGTGTTTTTTTATCCAAAACACCCGTCCCATTTTTTCCACAAGGTGTTTTGAATTTATTGCAAAAAAACAAAGTTTTCATTTACCTCGGTATAAACCCACCTAACCGAAATATATAAGCCATTAAAATAATAAAAGATAATGCCAACAAATTTATCTAATAACTAATACCGCAGTCATAAAAATCGGATTACAAATTAAAAAGTTATGAAACATCAACTTAGTCAAAATATTAGGGTGGCGGAATTTTGTGCCGGGGTGTTTATGTTGACATTTTACTGGTTTTGCATTATTACCTGTTCAGTTTTAGTTTAATAATATGCATTTCTTTTAAATGATTTAAAATCGTTTAAATTTGGAATGTGTATTCAGCATAGGCAGAACTTTAAAAAACCTATGTACGACTGAGCTGTAAAATTAATAGAGGATCCAATGTTTGGACAGTACAGAATTTGTAAAGACGATGCACCACCCAGTATATTTAATTAAATCAGAAGATAAAAAAGAAAATTACTAGTAAACTCACCGGCAAAAAAACCGGCCACTAAAAACTAGTCCCAATTTCAAAGTTGGATTTCTCGCGAACCACTCATTAGATTTTGATGATTTTTTCATAAATTGTAAATTAATTCCTTCTTTAGGGATGCTACGTCAGAAATTTTTATTCCGAATTTATTTTGAGCATATACAGGGCACAGCAATAAGACGAAGTTTTTTGCCCTAAATCAAATCACATTGTAGCCTCATCTTTTGTGAGCATTTTGTTTTTCTAATCACGACATTATCTCTGTTTGTATTGGAGATACGCTGCTTTAAACAAACGTCTCGAAAAAATGCTTGGCAGGCAGAAAGTTTTATGTATATCTAATCAAGGCGATATATCTAATCAAGGCGAAGAATAATTCACACCAGAATTTATAAAAGATGCGAATACCAACTAGACGAAACTCAATTTGGATTTCGCAGTGGCCTAGGTACTCGTGAGGCGTTATTCGGATTAAACGTTATCACTCAGCGTTGCAGAGACATGAATGTCAATGTAATCGCTTGTTTTATAGATTATAGAAAAGCCTTTGACTGCGTTAACCATCAAAAACTTTAGAAGTCCTCAAAACAACCGGAATAGATAGAGAAGAAATTCGATTGATTACAAATCTCTACTGGCAGCAAAACGCAGTGGTTAAAATTGAAGGAACATCGTCAGAAGAAATCACGATTAAACGAGGTGTAAGACAGGGCTGTGTGCTGTCACCGCTCTTATTTAATATATATTCAGAGGCTATCTTCAAAGAAGCTCTAGAAGGAATCGAATGTGGAATTAAGATTAACGGGAAAGTGATCAATAATATCAGGTATGCCGACGATACAGTTGTGCTGGCCGAGAATGAACAAGATTTGCAGAGGCTAATGAATGAATTAGTTCGGCATAGTGAAAACTGCGGTCTCCTCATAAATACCACAAAAACGAAGGTTCTTGCATTCACCAAAACACCTGTGCAGATTCACCTGGATATCAACGGTGACCCAGTAGAGCAAGTGTCTTCATACAAGTATTTGGGGTGTATTGTAAATGATCAATGCGACCCGAAGAAAGAAATTAGAAGCCGCATAGAACAGGCTAGAAAAACATTTATAAATATGAGACAATTTTTCACAAGGTCAGATTTGAGTTTGGAGCTACGGGTACGCATGGTCAGATGCTACATTTTTTCAGTTCTCCTGTACGGGTGTGAGAGTTGGACTCTTGACATATCGTTAGAAAAAAAACTAGATGCCTTCGAAATGTATATTTACCGCCGTATATTAAGAATATCATGGGTCCAAAGAGTTTCAAATGTGGAGGTTCTTAATCGAATGAGAAAACAGAAAGAACTCATGCTTACCATCAAAGAAAGAAAAACACGCTACATAGGCCACATAATGAGGGGTAAAAAGTATGAACTTCTCAGATTAATAATTGAAGGCAAAGTCCAGGGCAAAAGATCTATCGGCAGACGCCAGAATTCCTGGCTAAAGGACATTCGTAGATGGTTTGGTTGCTCATCAATCGACATATTTCGTATGGCTGTATCTAGAATGACGTTAGCTATTTGGATCGCCAACCTTCGAAAGGAGACGGCGTCGTAAGAAGAAGAATCAAGGCGACATAGGTGAAAACGGATTTATGAGTATTTGCAATATGTGTATGTATCAGTATTTGTCAAATTAAAAAATGCCATTATCTGTGTTTGTTGCTCGAATTGTGGCTTTAATTGAGAATGGCCGAAGTCAACGTTTTGTGTCCGATACCCTGGCTATACCTCGAACAACAGTCCAGGATGCCTAGAATCAGTATATGGAAACGGGAAATTTCACCAGGCGAGTGGGTTCCGGAAGAAAACGGAAGACAAATGCAATTAACGACCGCTTTATTGTCCTGAATACTTTACGAATCGTAGAATTACAGCATTTCAGAATCAACATCTGCTACAAGCCGTGCGTAGAACTCAAGTCAGTGAGAGAACAATCCGACGAAGACTAAAAGAAAACAGCTTGTCTGCAAGAAGGCCTGCCACAGGACCCCAGCTACTTCCAAGACATCGTCGAGCACGTCTTCAGTTTGCTCGTTTACATGTGAATTGGGATATTGAGCAATTGACTAAAGTCCTAGGATAATGGACTAAGTTTTAGGTAAAAAGGTTTCTTTTAAAGCAGCGTATCTCCAATACAAACAGAGATAATGTCGTGATTAAAAAAACAAAATGCTCACAGAAGATGAGGCTACAATGTGATTTGATTTGCTGCTGCACCCTATAGGGTATTACATAGTTTGGTCAAAAAACTTCGTCTTATTGTTGTGCCCTGTACATGCTCAAAAAAAATTCGGAATAAAATTTTCTGACGTAGTGTCCGTTAAGGAATTAATTTAAAATTTAAAAAAAATATATATGAAAATATAATGAGTGGTTCTCGAGAAATCCAACTTTGAATTTGGGACTAGTTTTTAGTGGCCGGTTTTTTTGCCGGTGAATGAAGAATTCAAATGATTCAAATGTTATTTTTGTTTTCTATAGACATGGTCAAGCTCATACGCACCAATCGGAGGAGAGCCGCGTATGGCACAAGAGAGACAACAAATGGCAGAACGTCCATTTCCATCGCAGTGGCGGAGACGGAGGAGCGGCATTCGGATTTAGTTCGCATAAATAAAACTTTTGAATTGTTTTTTCTCTATTGTCAGTGGGTGCGATTGAGGACCGAGTCTATAGTATGAAGTTTTCCGAGATTTCAATATGTAAAATTGTTCAAATATAGTCTTGTACGAATTTAATATCTACTGATAATTTAAAAAGCAGTCTTTCGAGATTTGAAATACTGATGGCCTTTTGGAAGTTTATTTAAGTTGCTCTCTATCCAACTCCTATCAGTCATCGAGTGTGGTCCATTTTTTTGGAATAGATTGATAATTTTTACTCGAACTCAGAAATATAGAAAAGAATATTCATAAATGAATATTTTTGTGTATGAAGAATCTTGTTTTAGTTGTTCAAATTGTTTCTGATAAAAACGATCAGAAGCCTTATTCATCTCATTCGAAAGTATTTTATCTATATATAATAATATAATAGATATAATTACATACCGGGTGTTTTTTTGTGGTTTTCTATAATCTAATATTTATTTTTTAGATTGATTATTAAAACAGTTCTGAATATACTCGAATTACTGCATTGCTATTTAAGAAATATACAACCTCCAAGATGGTAAGAAATTAATGATATAATTTATTTTAAATATTATAAAATAATTTTACATATTGATTTCTCCTTACAGAAAATCCATTAAGGACTTTAGTTAAATGTGAAATATCTTTGTGGTAATATGTAATGACTCTCAGAATCTTGATTTTTGTCATTTTAAGCTTTATACATACTATACAATTGTACGAAACAGTATGTTGGTGTATTATCTCCAAAAATGTATTATTAGCTAGCAATTTTGTGCCATCAACAATTTTTTTCGTTAGTTAAAAACATTATCTTATCAAATACAAATATAAAGTAACATTTGTGCTTTGTATATTAATTAATAGTATATAATATATACATTATTTTTTAAGACAGATATAAAGGGGTGAGTTGTAAATTACTGCAAATATTTACAGAACTGGTAGATCTCGATAAAAAAAATACATGTTCTCTTTACCTAAGTTCAAAATAGAAGAGTTATTTAACTTTGAAAATAAAAAAAAAATGTTTTTTGCTTAAGTTTTGAAAACCACTGGATTTTTTCTGTTTTTTTTTCTTACTCTTAAATTTATTCTACTACCTACATACGTTGTTATATTATCAAGATATTATGTTTTATAACTAAACATTTTAAAAAATACAAAATCAAAAATACTTTTTTTTTAATAATTGTATCTCATATACAATAATATTATGAAAGAAATTGTTTGAGGATAGAATTAATACCTTTTATATCTACGAAACTCAAAAATATATAAAGCATAAAAAGGTAAAGTAGTTATTATCTTAAGAGTTAAAAATAACCAATTCATAAATACAGAGAGTTTGAAAATTAATGTGAAAAACTTGATTTTATGGTTAAAAATAAAGGGTTCTATATATAAACGTAGACTCAAAGTAAATGAAACAATCTACCTTTTATTTTTAACAAGGTTTTTAAAGTTTTTCACAAGTTTTTTGAAACATTCTCTATAATAAACAGTTAAAGCACGGCCAAAGACATATACACATATCGTTTAACATATTTTTGCAAATTTTTACATACGTATTGACCTGAAACTGTTTCCGTTTTTTCGTTTCATTCTGTGTAACAGAAAATGGCCCTATTTTCAACTTTTTAAGGCCATAACTCAAGAACCACTATAGATATTGAAACTTTTTTTATTTTCAAGATCGGATATTTTACAATATGTTTACATAAGAAAAATTCGTTAAGGTTGTTTTTCCATTCAATCCATCCATTTACTTTTAGAGCATAGCAATTTTCAGCAATCGTGTAATCTTTTTATTGATAAAGATTTTTACATATTGTCTACAAAGAAAATACAGCAGAAATATGAACAAAGTTCTTGAAAAAATATAATCTATTATTTGTAATAGATTTCGAGATATCGATTTTTGAATTCAGAGTTCTAATAGCGCGACTACTATCGAACACCCACTCAATTCCACTTATTTTTACCAAAAATGCAAGTGTTTCTAGCTTGCACTTAAAAAAATTCAAGCTATAGGGGAAATTACAACGACTCGTTAATAAATAAACAAATTAAGTATCACGAGATCACGAGACGTAATTAAATCGTTAAGCTGAACGCATGACGTACACCTTTCCCTAGAACTTTAAGTACTGACTGAGGTATTAATTGAGTCGACCGGTCAACTGCGACAAATAATCTGCTATATCCCCTTCCACATCTGTTAGCGATGTGCACAGTTTCTCGGTTTATTTCATACGTTTGGCAACGTGTTTACTGTCATCTCTTTGTTCAGTACATTATAAACGCATGTACTCTTCTTACATACGGAAATCTCGACCCAAGACTAACCTTGGCCAGCCCTTAGTGTTACTTCTATAATATGGAATCAATGGAATAAAAATTTGCATTTTCAGTTTTAAAAAATCTCAGCAAAATCACAGTGTTTCACAAATCAATTTAGGAATACAAATGTTGCGTTACGTACATCAAAAACTTGCTTTAGCCCTTGTTTACAAGACAACGCAACCTTATCTAAACCCTTACGGCTCAAGATATACGTATAAATTTTGTGTCGTGCTTTAAGTGCCTAATCAAGAAAATTATTTATTATTTATTCTAGTCATTTTTATATCGTATGAAGAATTATTTTATTCTAAATATCTGGAACTGTTACAAATCAATATTATAAAATATAAATACAGGGTGGCGCCTCTCATAGGCGGTAGCTCCAAGGAGAACGGTAGTTTATATCGAAATTAAATTTTCGCAGCTTTTGATATGTAGGTTAACTGAAAGCATTTTATAAAAATATTTAGAATAATACAGGGTGTCTCCAAAAAAAGCTACACATCAAAGTTGTGTTTTTTCTAATGGAACACCCTATATATTAATTGATTTTCGGATTCTAGGAAAAAACTAAAGGTGAGTTTTATTAACAAGCATATACCTAAAATCTAAGGATTTTGACATATTTCACATTTTGTGGAAATTAAGAGTAAATTTTAAATTTAGATAACAGCTACCTAAATTTTAGTTGACCTTGTATAGCCTGGTATTTAATTACAGTAGCCATTGTATGTTAAACCAAATTGAAATTTGACCCGAAAAGTTATACAGGGTGAGACAAAATTAATATGGAACATTAGTCACTTTTAAAAGCAGGTTACTGCTTTATTTTAAATGGAACACCCAGTATATTTTTCCGGTGTTCAATGGAGAATTTATATATCTTCAAAATATTATTAAGGTTGCCTACCCCTCAGACAAAGATTTTCCCAGATATTTTAACTTTTATGATTTTGCGTCAGTAAATCTTAATTATTTGAAAAAATCTAGATGGCTGTGTGATATAACTTTTGTTAATTTAAGAAAAATTAAAGACTGTAGACTAAATTCTCAAAGGTAATAAAAAGATACGCGTTTAAAACATATTTTAATTATTAAAGAATTAAAACTAGATATAAACCTATAATTATGCGACAAAAATTAGCTAAAACGCTCCCTTTCCTGTTGTTAACTTCATAAAATGATTGTCTTTTCAAAAGGATCTTTTCATTTTAAAAGGCATATGTGGAGTTCTACCTCGAAAAGCAGCTACAATAATTTCTCTCATGTTGTCGACACTAGTTGGTCGAGTTTTCTAAACACTGTCTTTAACATATCCCCATAAAAAAACTAGACTAGATAAAATTAGGAGCATTCAAGTATTCTATTAATTGGTAACTGCATAAGTTTGCATTTTCGGCAAATTTCTGATTTTTTTTTTTGTTTTAACTGACACAAAATGATAAATAGTTGTCAAAGTTGGACTAATTAGACAGCTATGTTGAAGTAACGTCAGACATATCACAGCCACCTAGATTTTATCAAATAATACATATCTACTCAGATCAAAAATCATGTATATGAAAATATCTAGAAAATTTTTTGTTTGAGAGGTAGGCAACCTTAATAGTATTTTGAAGAGACATGAATTCTCCATTAAATATCGGAATAATATACTAGGTGTTCCATTTAAAATAGGAGAGTAACATGCTTTTAAATGTGACCAATTTTCAATATTAATTTTGTCTCGCCCTGTATAACTTTTTGGATCAAGTTTTAATTTGATTTAAAGTACAATAGTTAATTTAACTACATATTAGGCTATACCGGGTAAATTCCAATTTAGGTAGCTTTTATTGTAATTTAAAAATTGTTCTTTATTTCTAGAAAATGTTAAATATGTCATAAACCTTACATATGCTCACAAAATTTCGTTTCAATACAACTGTCGTTCTCATTGGAGCCTCCGCGACGTATGAGAGGCGCCACCCTGTATAGTAGTTATAATTTCTTGACATCTCTGAGAAGAAAAAGATCGTTGATGGTGTACATATGTCAACATTTACGAATTTAATATATTAACTTTTTCTTCGTATACATTTATAAATATTTGTCTCTGACTAAAACTGGAATAGTTTCTTCCGTTAGAAACTTTGAAATTGAGGAGGGTAAATGTTGACCCACACATTTTGTATAATGCAAATCAATCTACTTTCAGCACACCAAAATGGATGTAAGTACATAAAATATTAGCTTAGTTAAATATAAAGTGTACTAAATGGTGCATCGTTTCTTATTTTTCATAAACTTTTTCTGGTCTGAGTTTGATGCTCTCAGTAATGTTCAATGTAGTCATATACAGAATGCACTGTAATAAAGTTATTTTTGTACTGTGAAGTACTTCAGTATTAATCTATTTAATAAATAAACCTAGTATAGAGATTCATTCAAGTAAAATATTTTTGGTTTTATTTTCAAAAATAGATGGAATTATCCTATCGGGATGTATTGTTAATCCTATAATAATGTGCCATTACAGTACTGTACCTAATTTGTTACAATAATATAACATAATCTGTTTACTTTAAAATATAATGAATAAAATTGTATTGTATTAATAAAGTAATTAACAACACTTTACATCCTTTAAAAATATATGAGATTTCATTTACAAAGGTTTACAAAATTGATTCTTCTAAATGACAGGAGGAACTGTGTTTTTATTGTTATTCAAAAATATCAGCTCTAATTTAAATAAGAAGTTTTGGTTGTTTATTGATTTTATTATTAAACAGTCGAAATATCAAATAGAACAATGTATACTCTAATAAAAAAAATGACAGTGCATATACCCACAATCTATATCTACATGCAATCCTCTACTAGTAACCATAAAAAAAGCAAACTAAATTCAGTATTTCCAAAAAAATCCTTTATGGGTATTTCGCCACTGCACTGCAAGAAAATCTACAAAATAAAATAATTATTTTTTGTAAACACTTCTGCGTTAAACCTAAACGGACGCTGCTTGTCAGAAGTTATGTTTACAGTAATACAAATTTACCTAACAAAGCAAAAAAAATGCTTAACGTTCTGTTAAACATTGACATTGACATTTTTTTTAACAATGACATTTTTTTTTAAAAATATCGTTTTAACAGAACGTCAACGGTTTCTTGTAGACGTATCTGTTTTAAAAAAGTAAAGTGTTCTCGAATAGTTGAATTTAAATATTTTAAATAGTTTTTTTCTTTATTCTTTGTATTTTTTGGCTTCCGACGACGGAAAGAGATAACTTTCCGAAACGTTAAGCATTTTTTTTTGCTTTGTTAGGCAAATTTGTATTACTGTAAACGTAACTTCTGACAAGCAGCGTCCGTTTAGGTTTAACGCAGAAGTGTTTACAAAAAATAATTATTTTATTTTGTAGATTTTCTTGCAGTGCAGTGGCGAAATACCCACAAAGGATTTTTTGGAAAGATGAATCTGCCACATAGGTATAAACATTTTTTAAAATTCAGAGAGAGAGTATGTCTACAACCCTACAGTTACAACGCTGCCAAAAAAACTTATGACTGTTATTGACGCTTTAAGAAACAAAAAAATAAAAACTACTCGCTTACTTGAAGGCTACGTACAATTTTGTTGAGCGGTGAACTCCATTTTACATTGCAATCCTGTTACTTCACGACACTTTTATTTTCATATAATATTTTTTTTAAACAACTTTTGCGAGCCTAGT